TAATACATCGACACATGCACACATATCCACAAAGCTGTTGGAGTATACCATGTTTTATCTGAATATCATTCTGATTGAAGAGACAAAAATCTTCAAAAATACTTGAAGGAAGATTGGCCTTATGAAAAGTAAGTAGACTGTTCTGGATAACATCTACTGCCATCCATGAATCTCACTCTTCTCTAAAAGTAAGTAGGTAATTCCTTACTCCAAAGGGCTTACAGTTTAGATATTAATACATGTGAGATAGTGAACACAGAGACAGATGAGGAAAGAATATATATAATGGTGTCAATTACATGTGCTTTGCGTTAGTTGCTTTGTGGCTGAGATTTAAAAGGTTTTGGCAAAAAACACATTATTTAATCTATGTTGCTGGAAATGGTTTATACCATTTCTTCCTTACTTCTCAAACTATCATTTATTCTCCTTCCTGGACCGATAACATGTATAATCTCTTTGGCAATGTACTTTATGCATATACGGGCTATTGTCCTACAGTTGTTAGAGTAGGGATAGCACAAGTAGGCAGTCTTGGAAAGGGGACTTTGTTCTGATAAAAATTTGTTCAAAGCGCCCCTTGAAAACAACTTCACAGAGTAACATGTCCTTCAGCTGCTAAACACTAACGCATCTCTCTTGTTTTGCTGAAGGAAATGGGCTTTTTCTAGATACAATGTGTGGAAGCTGATTTTCAGTTAAGAGAACCATCAGAAAAGGTGCTTCACATTGTATAAAGTACCTGAGCAAAGCGAAAAATGTTGCTTCATGCCTTGATAAGACCCTCCATGGTATAAAGCACACATTTTTTGTTCCCAGTTTACAAAACCATAACAAATAACAAAACAGGGCAATAAGAATTCAATCCAGCTTTGTAGGGAAACTAACTTGCCAGACCTTTTTTTTTAAAAAAATGCTTTAATTAAAAGTGACCCAGAATCTACAGAAACACCTCCACCCAGTTTTGTCTGGGAAAAGTAGACATTGCAATATGTTGTTGGGTTTTTTTTTCTGCTGCAATGACACAATTACTGAAATTCTTCATTCTTTGAAATGAATTTACCTTTTCATTACAAGATAGATTCGAAGATTAAAATACCAATCACCTAAGTGTTTTTGTATTACTATGTTGTCATTTATTTATTTTTCAAATTTATGATAGCTCAGAGTCTCCTTAAAGATGGGCGGCATAAAAATGTAATAAATAAATAAATAGCTGTCCATCAGAAATCAAATGACCCTGAGTTTCCCAAAGGTGCTTTTTCAAAAGGCTTCTGAACTTTGTTTTTCCTTGAAGACATTTCCCTTCTAATTCAAGAAACTTCTTTAATTCTTTTCAAATTGAATCAATCTGTCCAATTATGTATGAGTTCAACTAGGAGAGGAAAAAGAAGAATCTTTACAAAGTTTTTTTTTCCCCATGAATATACATAACATCTAGTGAACAATGTTGAATGCTCCATAATGGTAGGAAATATGTGAACTAATAATTACTAATTGAAAATTGAAAATAAAATTTAAAAACTCATATATGTGATTTTTAAATTTCAATAGTATTTTAAATCAAGGTAGAAGGAGCAAAATAGGCTAATTTTTCTTATAGTTCTTCAGGACTCACAGCTGCTTTTCAAAGTGGAGATGGCAGCTATGGCTGTGCAGGCCTTTGCACAGGTTCATCTTTTGTGCCAGTTGTGGCCTTTCTCCAACTGGCCCTTCAGATGGTTACTCCCATCACAGCCAACTCATAACTAGACTATTGCAGTGCACTCCCCATAGGGCTGCCTTTGAAGACTATCCAGAAGCTATAGTTGACACAAAATGAAATAGCACAAGCAGTAATAGGTTTTTCACAGTATGCCCTTGTGTCATTGCTGCTATGCAAGCTGCACTGATTGTTGCCAGTAGGCTTCTGCATGTAATTCAAAGTGCTGGTCACTACCTATAAAGGGTCTGGTTTATGAAGTACCTGCTATATACAGTTGGTTTTGCCTGCCCTGTACATCCAGACCTACTATATGAGGTCCCTCCAATTAAAGACTGCCATTTGCAGGATAGAGAAAACATTCTCTGTCATGACCCCCACATCCTCTGGAATAGCTTCCCCTCAGAGATACCAACAGCGCCCCCTCTCCTGGAGTTACAGAAAGGCCTTAAACCTTTGCTCTGTTTCCAACTCTGAGATTAATGTGGATATTATTTTGGGGCTGAAGCCCTGCTTTTTGTTTTCTTTCTTTTTTCTTTTTTTGTACACTTTGCTGTTTTGGTTGTTTTAATTCATGGTGCCTTTTTCGTGAATTTTGTTTTCTCTTTTTATGGTTTTTGTAAGTTACTCAGAATCTTCTCAAGTGGGTGGGTAAATGAATTGAATTGAATTATAAATCTCAGTCATAGAAACATTTCGAAAAAATTGGAATGATAATTACAGCTTTTTTTCCCCCCTGTATGTGGCAGGTGGTCTGATGCCATGACAGATGATGGTAATACTACTGTCAGATTGACTTTTACTTTAAGTCCAACTCTAACACCATCAATTCACATGTTCAGATGTCCACATGCAACTGTTCTTTTGTACCCCTAAAAGGCAACAAATAGGATTTCTTCCTCAACCTGGTCACAAAAGGGGCATTTCTTCCTTTCTTTAAGACATTCATGTGGCCTTAACATTTTTCCTGGGGGACAGAGAACACTTTCAGAGCAGAGTTGGGAGATACGCAGAGAGCTGTATCATATTTCTTACTAGAAATTTTTGTTTCTCAGATTAACAGCTTGTTTCATCCTCCAGAAGATTCTCCAAGATATTTGGAAGATACTTTGCAAGGAAGTCTCTGGTCTTTAATAGTTCAATACACATAAATCAGCCTATATTTAAATACAATATTAGAGGTATTGAACATAATAAGATATTTAATAAGCCGCCGTGCTGATGAGGGAAACTATCACTTTATTTATAAAATAATTAGTCTTCTGTTTCTGTGACAGGGAGGAGCAGCAACATGTAAGGGTTGCCTTTATCTATCTACTCATTTTTATATTTGTACAAAAACAGTAAAATGTTTTTACAGAATAGGCCAATAGTGCCACAGGAATTGAATTAGAGCATCCTTAATTAATATGTCAGAATATAAGAAATGGGGGAAATACATATAATTAAATTCTTGCACTAAAAATGAGAACTAAAAAAACTGACTAAAATAGAGTACTGCCTCTTTTTGTTCCTTAAAGGAAAGTGTCACTTTTGCTCCCTTTTGCTTTGCACTTCTCGGTGATGAATTACTGGTGGAGAAAGCTATTTGATTGGGATGTTCCAAACACTACATACTCCATGTCAGGATAACATCATTCATAAAGTATTAATAAAAAATATGTAGAAAATTTGGCAGCTTGTTTAGGAGGCAGAAAAATTCCATTTCTATGAGTTGGTTCCATTTTTTAAAAACAGGTTCTCCCAATCCACCTACCACACTTTCTAATGCTCAGGGCAGTCCAGGGCTTAGAAGTGATAGGATAGTAGACTAACCCCATGGAACTTCACACATGGCTAGCAGCCTTTATTGTGAAAAACGTCACATTGAAATGAGTATGCAGAATCCTTATAAAAAGGAAATATGAAAGACCCTTTCTCTCTTTAGGTTTGGGTTAACTGAAGAAAAAGTTCCATCCTCCATTTCCTCTTTTATACTTTTAAAAATATGTGTGTATTGAATGCTAACTAGATTGCAATATTCATACAGCCATGGATTCAATGGGAGCTAAATATCCAAATTTAGTTCTACCAGACTCTAGGGCATAACTGCAACTCCAAATGTAAAGCCATTTTTTGTTCATTCCAGAAGGTTTTAGCAGATATTACTTCTAGGGTGGATTACAGAGCCTGGATTATCATGATTGTATGTATCGTCTCCGTACTCTCCTGCCAGAATCAGTCACTTTTAATTTTTCAGTTTTTCTTATTCATAAGAAAACTTAAAATTTTAGATTTTTGTTTACTCTTCTGTCCAATATATTCATTTTTGTGTATATACTTTCTTTAAGTTTTGTATTACTTTAAGATTTTTGACTCATAAACAATATTAACGAACTTGTGAAATTTGATTAGTTATTGAGCCTCTATTTGTACAAATTCCTCTCCTATTTTTAATGGTAGTTAACAATATGGAATGGTATTCCAATATGGAATATCAATATGGAATAACATTTGTGGATAACACCACAAATGTTATCCTTATGAAAACAGCTAAGTGATGTTACAGGTCATAGGGAAGACTTTGGCAAATAGCAGTTCCATGTGTTGTATTCAAAACATAACTGTACCAGGGACATCTCCAGAGGATTAGCGGGATTAATGCTGTGAAAGTGATGGGCACAACTAAGCAAACAAAAGCTTCCTTCTTTTCACATCCATATAATATATAGATTGTGTGTTGAAAATGGACAGGGCTTCAATTGTCCAATAATGCTTGCTATTTTGATATTGTTGACCCTCTGCCCCCAGACACAATGAAACTTACTAATGCCCTATAAGTCTATGTCAGTAAATGCACAAATAAATATAACTGCTACAGCTCTATACAGTAAATATAACCTAACTGAGAAAGATTTGTGATTAAATGCCCTCTCGTTTAGTAGGAAATGAAGCAATGGAATTTCCCATTTTTTCTTCCCCAGCACCCTGGGTTTTAACTGCCTCTATCCTGCTTAAGGTAAGTAGGTTTGTATTTGATGGATGGAAATATTATTTCTAGAACTGTCGGAACTTTGGGTTTCTATGCATCTTTTCTGTTGATGAAGCCCTATGTTGCAGGTAACAGGTTAATAGAGAATCTCCAAGAATGACTTAGCTAAACATGCTGGTCACTAGACAGTCTTATACAAATTCATATCCCCAAGAAGTATTGAGTTTATGGGGAAAATTGGTATTCCTTGAATCTTTAAACTCCATGACAACTACCCAAACATTCTGAGAATTACGGGTGTTCCAATCCCTGAACAATCATCAAACTGGGAAAAGCTAACATCAATGGAGACATTTGATTGTATTATCAAATGACAGTTTGATGAAAAGAAGGGGAAGAAGAAAAAGGAGGAGAGGTTATCCAAAGACTAGCCCCCCGCCCAAAAAAAATGCTGTGAATTATGTGAAGTGGAGGAGGACAGATAAACCCCCCTATCGTGGTAATTTAGCATTTAACCTATTGCTTCTCATGTGCCCAAATACATTATAACATATTTTTCAATTAGTTTGCACTCTTGCTTGCAATAATTATACAGAAACAATTCACATTGTGCTGAAGAATGATCTGAAGTGTTGTGCCTGTGATAATTATCACACTTCTTCTGCTCCCTCCAGGTCATTAGGGCAGTAAAGAGGACACCAGGAGAGCATTAATGAGCTCTCATTGAAGATGTTAAAAAGGGCATATTGATCTGTTTGTCCAAGGAGGAGATATTTAAGCCATTGTGCTGAGGGCATGAGAGACACAGATTGCTATCACAAAGCCTTTTATCCTAAACCTTTCTGTTTCTGGCTTCAATATTGTCCAGCCTTAGCATGTCTGGTTGCAGAGGTCATGCAATGTTTAAATCTCCACCGCCCCCCCTCTCTCTCTCTCTTTCTCTCTCTCTCTCTCTCTGCCTCCCTCATATTGTGCTTACAATTATGTTTTACAATAGAGATTTTTTTAAAAAAAATATGTGTTTTGGAATATGCTTTCTGCATATTCATATTTTTCTTTGTAAGCAGAGCTCAATCCAATACCTGGTTTAGCCCCTCTTGTAGTTGTTTTAAAATTGAAGATCCTGGTATGTTCTTGACATGTGAAGAAGGCACAGAAGAGGCTGTACTTCCTGAGAATGCTCAGGAAGATAAATCTATCTCAGCATCTACTTCTGTTCTACTATCGCAGCATCTTTGAGAGTGTCCTGACATACGGCATTCTTGCATAGTATGGGAGCAGCTCTGTAGCAGACAAAAAAGCTCTACAGAGAATTATTAAAACTGGCCAGAATATCATCGGGCTCCAGCTACCAGCCCTGGGTGACATCTTCAAATCTCGCTGTTTGAAGAAGTTGCATAAAATTCTCAGAGACTCTTCCCATCCTGCTTACAATCTTTTTGGACTGTTGCCTTCTGGCAGAAGATACAGAACAATTAAAACTCGGACTACACATTTTCTGAATAGTTTTTATCCCAGAGCTATAATTGCACTCAATTATTATTATTATTATTATTATTATTATTATTATTATTATTATTAATTTATTTATTTATTTATTTTTTATACCGCTCTTCTTCCGAAGGACTCAGGGCGGTGAACAGTCAGAATAACCTACATATAATGTGAAATAAAAACAATTTAAAATAATTAAACCAATTTGGCTCATCAGTTAAGATCCTCAGCATAGAATTTAGACAATTTGAAAATTTATGCCAGCCCGGCTTGGTGAAACAGAAAGGTCTTCAGGGCACGATGGAAAGTACGGAGATCTGGGATCATTCGTATCCCTGGGGGTATCCTATTCCAAAGGGCAGGTGCCCCCACAGAGAAGGCTCTCCCCCTGGGAACCACCAGTCGACATTGCTTTACTGATGGCACCCTGAGGAGGCCCACTCTGTGGGAGCGTACTGGTTGGTGGGAGGTTATTGGTTGCAGAAGGTGGTCTTGTAGGTACCCAGGTTCTAAGCCATGGAGCACTTTAAAGGTAAGAACCAACACCTTGAAGCGCACTCGGAAGACCACTGGGAGCCAGTGCAGCTCGCGTAAGAGAGGTGTCACATGTGAGCGCCATGTCGCTCCCATAATCACCCACACGGCCGCATTCTGGACCACTCTGGGTGCACCTCAAGGGGAGCCCCACGTAGAGAGCATTACAGTAGTCCAGTCGGGAAGTGACGAGGGCATGAGTGACTGTGCATAAGGAGTCCCGATCAAGAAAGGGACGCAACTGGTGAATCAGGAGAACCTGATAGAAAGTTCCCCTGGCCACGGCCGTCATATGTTCTTCTAAAGACAGCTGCATGTCCAGGAGGACACCTAAGTTGCGAGCCTTCTCTGTGGGGGCCGATGACCCGCCCCCAATAGTCAATGATGGTATCAGCTGGCTATATCGGGACGCTGGCAGCCACAGCCACTCAGTCTTGGAAAGATTGAGTCAGAGCCTGTTTCTCCCTATCCAGATCCTCACGGCCTCGAAGCACCGGGACATCACTGCAAGGGCATCATTGGGGTGGCCTGGGGTGGAGATGTACAGCTGAGTATCATCAGCATAAAGATGGCACTGCACCCCAAAACCACGGATGAGCTCACCCAGCGGCTTCACATAAATGTTGAACAGAAGAGGTGAAAGGACTGACCCTTGCGACACCCCACAAATAAGGTGTCTTGAAGTCGACCTCTGCCCTCCTGCCAACACAGACTGTGACTGGTAGGAGAGATAGGAGGAGAACCACCGTAGAACAGTGCCTCCCACTCCCAGCCCCTCCAGTCGGCACAGCAAGATACCATGGTCAATGGTGTCAAAAGCCGCTGAGAGATCTAATAGGACCAGGATAGCGGAGCAACCCCTATCCCGAGCTCTCCAGAGATCATCAACCAATGCAACCAATGCCATTTCAGTGCTGTAACCAGGCCTGAAGCCGGACTGGAATGGATCTAGGTAGACAGTTTCATCCAGGTACTATGGGAGTTGCTGTGCCAACAATGAACTAAAGGGCCACCATCAGTGAGCTGTTGGACAGCATTACTTGGTCTGTTGTGTGGATGTTTGGCTGGTTTAGGGGCGGGGAATTTGTGGTGAGTGGGGGTGTGTTTGGGGATTGTTATGTGTGTTGGATCTGGTCTTTGGGTGTTAAGTGAATTTCGTTGTATGAGTATACTGTGTATATATATATACAATGACAATAAAGTTGTTGTTGTTGTTGTTGTTATTATTATTATTATTAAAAATACAGTTTTTACAAAGATGTCATATTGATAATGAATCCCTACTCTATGTGTTTTCATCCCTTTCCTTGTTTGTTGGTTTGTTTGTTTGTTTTTCATTAATAAAGCCTCAAGCAACTCAGGAAGATATGAGCATAAAGAATGGTTTCATTTATATCATACTTCTGAACAGCTGTGACCTTCATGGAAAATCTAGCTGCCCATCCTGAAAATTAAAAATTGCTATCTGGTAATAGTACACACTTTTTTGTGGTACCACTTGTCTTGGGGAAATTGTTTCCTCTGTAGTTAAAAAAATCTTTGGGATTTTACCTAGTTCATCTGGTCTGGTTTATGAAAACTGGTTGCTTACAAAGTCACTTAAAACATTAACAGTCAGAGTTGTAGAAGGAAGTAAAATGGGAAAAATAGGTCTGAAGGCACTTAGAACAGAGGCAACATTCCTGATTTCCAGTTATTTGTGACAGACTGGCAAATGCCTGATAGGGAGGCAACTGGAGATTCAGTATGAATATGAGGGGAGTTTGTGGAATGCTTAGAACACTGTACTTTCAGAATTGTTTTCAAAGATAACATAAACCATCAAAAGTTAAACTAAACTATAAACTAAAAAGAAATCACACTGTGCAGAGTAATGTTGTGTCTGTGGAACAAGGAGAAGGAAGGTTAGACTATAAGAATAAGAAACAAAAGTACCCTGGGTCAAGTCATGCTTATAGTCTAAACTGACAATAGTTTAAAACCTTCACCAGCATTTGCTAAAACCATTTTTTTTTTTTGCTCAAGGAATAAACTGTGGTTGGATGTTGAATATTTCCTTCAGAACCATGACTTTAGATACGTCATATTTATTATGATGCAAGCAGATCCTATAACACAAATAAAAAGAAAACATTTAGCCTTGGGCGACCATGTGAAAAGATAAGTAAAATTCACAACATTGAATTGAATTTCCCCTTATCATTGACTGATTATGCGCCATTAAATAGGTTTTGGCTGTTAGCGATTATATAGATAGAAGTTATCCAGGATGATTTATACTCAAGCTGGCCCTTCAGGTCTTCCAGTGATGCTTCTACTGCCTCTGAATCCATGTTTGTCCATCATGCTCATAGTCATTTTCTTCTTTCCTTCCACCCTTTCCAGCATTATGGATTTCCCAAGTATGTTGGTCTTCACATGAAGTACCCAAAATATAATCACTTGAGCCTGGTTTGGGAACTTTGAACTGTTTGTTTTTTTTTCTCTAATCCATTTGTTTGGTTTCTTGACTATCCATATTATTCACAGGAGTCTTCTCCAACACTAAAGTTCAAAAACATCAATAGAAGTTATCCAGGATTCTTTCCTGGTTTTTCAAAACCCAACTTTCTTATCCATTCATGTCTCAGGGAAAACCATTGCCTCCAATATTATAAGTATTGATACATCATGGCTTCTGAATATCTTTTACAAGGCCTTCATTAATATTGATTTCCTTATCATAGCTCTCATACAAAAGTGGGCTGAAATTTACAATACTTCTCTTTTCCATAATGTAGATCAATAATGATCCTCACAAAAAAAAAAAAAAAAAAAAAAGAGTTGGACATATTTTTTTGACTTTAGTGCTTCATTTAGCTTCATTTTGAAATGCTGTTCACCCCTCCGCTCATACACCTTCAGTTCAGCCTGTTTCCATTTTTCAAGCTGTTAAATTAGTACTTCGGGAATTGGGCTTTCTGCCTGATTTTAATCAGCATGGATATGGTTTCAAGACAACCAGCTTTTCAAAAGATAATGCTTGCAGGTGTTTGAGAGAAAGCTTCATTTGACACTTCTCCCTAGCCAAAAAGTATGCTATGTGTACCTACCAACTCCCCATAGACACACTTTTTTTTTAAAAAAAGGACATAAACACACTAAGGTGAGAAAAGATATCCTGCATTGGATCCCAAATCCACCTTCTTTTTAATCCCATTTTCTATAGTAATTAAACAGATGCTATTAAGATAAATTCCCTTATCCCAACCATCCTGGGTTTCCAGGATGAAGTGATCCCTACCTTACACAGAACAATAAAAAGTGGAGGCCTTGGCCTTTTGGGGACAGAACGGTCATACAAAATTTTGATAGCAGGTTATAGATACTCGCAGAATTGTTGCCATAGTTTACTGTAACTTCTAAAATGTATATAATCATCATAATCATAAGTTTATCTGTCAAGCATATATAAGATAACAGGTAAAAATATAAACATAATTTGAATACATGAAAAGAGTAAGAGTAAAAAGGAATATTAGGACAGAGACGATAGGCACACTGGTGCACTTATGCACGCTCATTACAGACCTCTTAGGAATGGGGTGAGGTCAACAGTAGAGAGTTTAAGGTTAAAGTTTTATATAAAACTTTATATAAAAGTTTTTATTTAAATTTGAAAAAAAAGGACAAGTGAACAAATGTATGATAAAGAGGGCTAAAATATTGGTTATAATGTACAGATGGAACAATGGGAAAATAATATGTGTCTGAAAGGTTTGAAAGTTATAATCTTAAAAATATTTTTTTTATAAATTGATGCACCATTGGTATACGTTGCCAGAGAAATAATCTAAAATGTATAAAAGCACTTCAAATTTAGGTTGGAAATACGAAAGCACATTTTATCATGTTTGGTGAACATGTAAAAAGCTAGAAAAGTTTGGATTCAAATGCACACAGTGATTCAGAGGATTTTAAAGATTAATATATAATATGGTTAATATAATATTAATATTAATAACGTGGTGGCTCAGTGGCTAAGACACTGAGCTTGTTGATCGACAGTTCAGCGGTTCGAATCCCTAGTGCCGCATAATGAGGTGAGCTCCTATTACTTGTCCCAGCTTCTGCCAACCTAGCAGTTTGAAAGCATGTAAAAAATGCAAGTAGATAAATAGGGACCACCTTTGGTGGGAAGGTAACAGCATTCCATGCACCTTTGGTGTTTAGTCATGCCAGCCACATGACCATGGAGACGTCTTCGGACAGCGCTAGCTCTTCAGCTTTGAAACAGAGATGATCACCACCCCCTAGAGTAAGGTATGATTACCACATATGTGTGAGGAGAACCTTTACCTTTACCTTATACAACTGAGACCAGAGGTTTTTATTTTGGGACTAATGAACAGACGGTTGGAAAAAAGCCAACTTTATTTTTGTTATAGGATAACTGCATATTGTATGCAGAAGTATGGAAAGATTTGGCATTACCCATAATAGAGGAATGGTTGGTGAAGATGTTGGAACTTGCTGAGATTGCTAAATAGATTCCTTTGATCAGAGAACAGACAATATCTGCACACATGGCTGACTGGAAACCTCCTATGGACATTTTGCATAAGAGATAAAAATGAACTTATGATTTATAGTTTGATGATTAGACAGGATAGATTAAAGATCAAGGAAAAGATTTAAATTGTAACCACAGAGTAAAAAGTAAATTTATAACTGTAGTTACACCTGCTATAAACATTGGAAGTCACTTCTTTGAATCTCTTTTCTTTCTTTTCTATTTTTCTTTTCTATTTTTTTCTTGAACTTTTAGCTTTCTCTTTGATTTCTTTTTTTAATTTTCTTTTTCTTACTTTATATTAGTTTGTTCTATCTTCCTTTTTAAATATCTTAAATATATCAAAACCAGCCATTTAGCAGAAGGAAAAAAAAAATCTAGGCTGCAGCTACCAATTGCTTTATTTTCTAGGAAAGACTGAGGTCTATGTGGGGTCCAGAAACATTACTAGAAATTACAGGTTATGTCTAGACTAATGTTTGTTTTGCAACATGCTAACTTTCTCCCTTTTTAGTCTTTCTTTCCCAATGTGATTTGTAAAGAAGGCATATAAAGCAGTTCAGTATTCCATCTCTTTTGTATCCACCTGTCTGTCCATCAGCAGAAAAGCTTTCAACAGAATTGGATCAAATTTGGTGCAATATGAGAAGTCAACAAAAGAAATATTGAAGGTGATCATGGATCCAGCTGGGGGCTATGGAAAAAACATCCTAGACAAAGTCGAAAAATGAATTCTGGTTCTGAAGTAGTTGAGCAATGGCTTGGAATTTTGCCGACTCCTCATTCTAAGATCCCTCCCTTATCCCTTTTGCCACATAGGATAGACTGGACCATATAGATTCAATCCTGTGTTTCCCAGTGCACATATATAGACAGAAATGCAAATGGGGGGAAAGCAGAAATGTATTCAGCCATATGTCCCCATCCTTAGACCCTCACATATAGGCCACATGTATCCATATAACCAGGGGGAATCACGTATATAACTTGTATACATAATCCCTGGAAAGAAATCATACATAGTAAACATGTTATTTCATTACAGAAAAGAAAATTCAAATATGTCCTATTGCCACTGTAAAGGAGTTGTTCTCTGCATTATTTCCTTACCCTTTTATGTAAAGAGACCTATACTCTGCCTACTTGCCTGCTTGTCTGTCCATCTGTTCATCAGCACTGAAGTTCTCCTAAAACAGAGAAGAATTGGACCAGATTTGTTCTATGTTTGTTAGAAAACGAGTTGGATCAGACCAGTGGCTTTGGAAACAATAGAAACACTTCTCTTTATGAGATATCTCAGATATGTTGGCAGTTTCACTCTAAGACCTCTCTTTCTGGTCATATGAGGAAGAAGGAAGACGGAGAAACCATGCTTTCCAGTGTACACATACCCATACGCAGACCCAGAAAAATGCAACATGAAAGTAAACAGAAAGCAAGATTCTTTGTTATATAGAATAAAATGCAGTTGTCTCTAATACATTTGGCCACTGCTGGTAAAAAGGTTGGAAAGAATTCCACAGGCCATATTCTACATGTTTTCCTACCTTATTTAAATCAAAACAATCCTTTTAATATGGTAGGACAGGGTGTTTGGCAAGTGTAAAGGAATACGGCAATAAGCATTTTGTTGCTACATACAGGGGACTCTGGTGTAAGCTATCAGGATTTTGGAAGTAGCAGATAATTTATCCTGCTGCATTTCAAACTCCATTTAACATTTACATCATGTTTCAACTTAGTATCATCTGGATATTAGTACTTTCCAAACTCAGTCCACTTTGAAAGATCTCTTTCTCAAGATTTCTCTCCCCTATCTTGCATCTATTTCAAAAAAGAATCTGACATCTTCTTAATACTTTGGTCGTCTTGCATAGCTACATCTCTGATTTGATGGAAAGTAGCAAACGATAACACCCA